TTCTGGCCTCTTTTAGACAAAAGTTGCCTTATGGTTCGCGGCCGTGGTTCGCATGCGGCTCAACGGAATACCCACTACCTAGGGAAGCCCACCACCCCCAAATGTATGATAATACTACGCAAACATGCTAAAAAAACTTCCACCCCATTAATCTCTAGCGTGGGTTCCTCTCGCACGATCGAAGATGTTACAAATCGTACGTAGGACTTGAGGTGGCGCTCGTGGCAACATGCCGACAGGGCCAAGGGAGCGGTTATCCCACCACTAAAGATATATGTATAAGATCAGATACATATACGCTGGGGTCTAGAGATAAGTTGATTTGGGTGTATATCGATATTCTTACCATGGCTCATGCATAGGTGACATTAATATATATGTCACGAACTAGTTTGGGGACAACCAGTTGAGCCATAGTGACCAATTTCACCTGCTGAAGTAGGAGACGTGGGTTCAATTCCCACAGTTGCTAGATAAAAGCTTCGTCGCTCTCCGAGCTTTTAGGCAACATCGACAGTAGGCAGGCAAGGGGTCCTAGCTGGCGGGGGTGTCACCAGCTCGGAACCTTGGAGTTTCCCTATATTATATTCTCAGTGTGCAGGTATAAGGCTTTGTCCACCTTATAGCACGATATGCGTACCAGGAGGTATGAGGCTTGGTTCTCCTCATATGGTATGGCATAGGGACATGCCTTACGGAGGGAAGGTATGATGTTACGTTCCAAGCTGCGGGGTAACATATATAATATAGAATTGGGGAACAGTGACCAATTGGTCACTGGGAAGCTTTTGCTTTATGGCTCAACTGGTTGTCCCCAAACTAGTTCGTGACAATATACATTCTTGATTCGGAGATTGACATGAGTGGTCTGTTAGGGGAGGGCTAATAGCCCAAGGCCTATAGAGGAGTATGATGGGATGCTTATAGCCTAACCAACCTAGCCTAAGCCATAATTATACCTTTTTACAGATATAGGTACTGCATTTGCTATATTATAAATATATGATGAAGCCATTGGAAACCTGGTAGTAAATAGCAAGCGCAGAAAGTGGTCTCACTTGTCTACCAAGTATGAGAATACCACATGCTGTAACTAGCCAGTTGTATGTAGGATGTAACTGTAGTTATAATTTGTTTTGTACATAAGAAATAGTATTGGAATTATGTTTAATAGTATATGCTTATAGGTATCCATATTTAATAGAACAGTTTTTTTGTTATATCATGTTCTCCATTTCCTTTATGGCTTTACTAATAAAATATGTGTGGGTTGAATTAAGGGAATGCTTCAATAAGTTAGATTCTTTATTGGGATCTATGTCTAATAATTTGTCAAATTGACTAAAGAATATAACTCAATTAAGTGGCATAAAAGGTCCTAAAATGGTACATACTATATGGAAGGGGGTATAAACACGAAAGGTCTAACAGAATTGATACCAGCTACAAGCGATGGCGGGAATAAAAACAGGTAATAGAACGGCATCCTATTCTTCGTATTCGGCCAGACCCCAGTTCTCTTCCTCTCATTTTGCTATCGTACTCGTACAATCTTCCGAGTCACAATGTCCATAGTACTACACCGAAGAGGAGGCTTGGACCTCACGAACAGGTGGGAAGATAACAAATGTCTTCACCATAGATTGGAGCAACGAACTTACCAAGACCATTTGCATCTCAACAGGGTTCAAGACAATGCAAGTAGTCGTAGGTAAGACGGTCTACAAACCTGGAGATGTTACTTACAAGATATATACGGCTGTCAACGGAGAACGCCGAAAGATGGAACTGCCACCTTATGCTATTGCAGATACGGAGAGGTTCTTACAGGGCTTCATCACACATATCAATGAAGAGTATCTGAACTGGGCCGGACAGCAATGCCGATCATATAAAGACTTGGTATCTTTAATCCAAGAGCATGGTGGCGACAATACTTCACAGGCACTGAAATTGCTTCTCTCCTATGAACATGCCAGATGTAAGTCCCCCCTGGCGCTTCTTTTTACTTCCCAACAAAGAGCTAACACGTAGACGGGGTGGAAAACCGGTTCGGCTAGCATCGTTGGCGAAGCTACCCTCGGAATCGACCCCATTCCCCGCGACACCCAGACCATGCCGGGCAGCGTACCTGTGCCTCGATTGATTGTTGCCCAGTGGGATACTCTCAGCACCAAAATCTCGGACCAGTGGGCCCAACAACTATTCCAATGTCCAGATGGACTTGTATACAAGCTGCTGATGTCTCAGGAACCCACAAAGATCCACGCCGGTTATATCGCGTTGCATGTTTTGACAGACGGAAGCTTGTGGGTTGTAGAGGATCAACACAGACGCGGTAAAGAACACTCGACAGAGGTACGTTTCCGCCCCACCTCCCCCTGCCCCCCTGCCCCCATAGCCCACTAAGCAAGGGACACCCCGCCCCCGAAGCCATCAATACGATCGAGGATGGCCTGAATGAGCTATTATTTGTCTTCGCTACTTCGTGTAAGAAGGTGGGATTCGAGGCTGTCTATAGGGGGTTGAGCCAGACATGGCAAAAAATATCATGACAAGCTGATGAGCTGACCCTGAATACAGTGACGCGTCTCTAGATTGGCTTCCATCGCTGAAGAAACTTTGCGAGACTGAGTGGAAACGACGAAGCTTCTCAAAGAAGGAGTGACCACCAAGTATCAAGCAAGGGGATCTGCCTTGTAACGAAAGTACGAGCATCTAAAGCCCGGAATGCAGTAAGAATGCTGGGATCCCGACTAGATACACCGGCGGGTATCGTCGTCTTCCGTACCAGGGCAATCCATTCAAATAAGACTGGTTTGTACTGATAAAAGAAAAAGTTGACCATATCGTGCCTTATTAATATGGCTGCCAGAGTCATGGCCTTGGCCTGTCTTGAGGGTTCTAGCTTTCTCTGATATCTCTTAGATAGGCGGGAATTCAGAGGATTGGATAATTGGCTCGGCTTATTTTTGCATGTCTTTTTCCTGTTATCAATATTCATTATCACAAATGTAGTTGTGAGATCATTATCTGGGTAGATTAGGCTCTTAGGTATATAGGGGACTGAATCATTAAGAGGAATTAAAGGCATTTCCATTAAAGCCGCCTCTATCCTTTAAGGAGTACTGTTAAGGTTTTCCACGGCTTTATTAAACATTCTGGTGGTTTACAAGTAAATTAAAGCAACTTTATATGATCTTTCCACGGTTAAATTTATATATTCTCGGTGGGAAAGAGAAAATTAAACGCGTAAATAAAATTATAAATAAATAATCTTAAAGTTAATATAATTTTTTATTATCTAATTTCTACGATAGACGGCTATTTAATGGAGGTTATATTAATTTAAAAGCTGTTAGTTGGCCTCTTTCCGAAAATGTCAAAAATGTAGGAGTAGGAATGTCGGGACGGAATGAACACACAGGCACCTGGACTAGGGTACAGGTACCTAGGTAGGTACAGGCTTAGAAGCGTCCCGGTAAATCCCACTACTAAACTACATCATCGCATACCAACTCATGAATTAGGTATTAATAATTAATAACCGCGATTGAAATTATTAGTATGACGAGAAACTCCCCAAATCGTCTCTTTGTTATCAAAAATGCATGTCCCAGTATAAAATAATTTATATTGCTTCATTAGAGGCAGTGTCAATCCAAATTAATTAATTAATACAATTCAGGTTCTGCTAATAATGATTTTAAATGATTATTAAGAACAATAGCATTGAGAAATGTGATCTAAACTCTAAAGGATTAGGAGATATTCTTTTCGATAAGTGTGGCGCTTCCGGTTATTAGGCTTAATCGCTGAGAGGCTGTCAACTGTGGCGTGGGGGTGATATGGTTGAGTTAAAGTTGTGGCGAAGGCGGGCGGGGTAACAAAATACTTTTGAGCAAAGTTTTCCTTGTGCTAGAACACCATGAGACAGATGAGCTTTGCGAGAACTAGGTACCGGATATCTTACTTAGATATATATAGCTCTTGCTAATTAGTAAATAGAACCTCGTTAGATTCCCCCCCGAGCAATTCACCTCCGAGCCGATGCCTGTCACCGAACGTTCTCAAAAAAGTCCTGCTGAAATCCAAAACCTATGGACAAAGCTTAGGCGACCAGATGACGAGATTGTTAGCCTCGTCTTAGACCATGTAAAGTTCCATGCAAGTTGAAAGGAATTGTCGTACTGACAACCCATAGCTTGATTTGGTAGCATCTGGAGAGGTTCGGAGTACTATCAAGAGTGTCACGACGCCCATTACTACACCCTGCATTATATTCATTCTTCTTGGGCAATTTACAGTGAGGTCTGAGACGCTGAAGGATCGCGGTATGGCGTATAAGCTTGAGAGCGAAGATGAAGTTACACTTGGAGAGCATACTTCCATCGTGATCGTGAAGGTGTAAGGTTCGCATCGGTCGGCCGCGAAGTACAGCTTGTCATTCAATGGGGATTCTTTCCAGGTGTAAACCTAAGCGACATCGTTAGCTCAGACACTTTCGTGACAACATGGGCCGTAGCATACAATTCCGGCATTGGGTATACTTGACAGGCAATATAGGTAGGATCCAGCTCTGGGAACGGGTCCATATTAGATTCCAGCGTAACCGCATTCATTTCCCGCCTCGAATCCGTATCTTCCGACTGCTCACCATATGCCAATTCTAATAACTTTTGGTCTGTGAAATGCGATTCGTCCCAGGCTTTATCCTGGGGTTTTGTTCTGACATGTCGGCGTTTCTTGCCAAATTTTAAAATTCGCCGATCCGCGGCAGGTAGATTACGCTTCCGCACATCGCCGTTCTCAAGTTTCGCGACTGTGTATGAAAATTCACTAGCAGGCTTAACAGCCATAATCTTTCTCGTAAATTCTCCCAATTGCTCATCAGTGAGCTTGCTTATTATTGTCCCAATTCGTTTGTTATATTTGTACGCCCTAGCGACGGCCGTTAGAGCAAATGTCCCACCAAGCTTGAAAAACTTCCATTCTAACGAGTTCTTGTCCAGAGTTTCTGCCTGGCATTCTTCGAGGGTAGCTTTAAGTCCGTAGGGTAAGGTTTTAATGGGCTCTTGTATTGACTTCTGAAAAGCACTATAGAGTTCAATTTTAGATAATGTTTCGTCGTCCGCAGGAATAACAAGAAACGCGTCAATAATGGCCGTAAGGGTTGAGGGGTCCTGTAAAGCCTCCTGGAAGCTAAGGGGCCGATAGCCTTTCTCAAATCGTATCGTGACTTTAGAATCCATGAGGTGATTTCGCATGGAGTAACTCCACAAATGCTTATGAAATAAGCCTAGGTTAGAATATGATATGAGAAATAGAGCCTGAGATGGAATGTGGTGGGAAAAAAGGAGCCTAGGACGGAATGTGGTGTAAGAAATCTAGCCTGAGATGGAATGTGGTGTGAGAAATAGAGCCTGAGATGGAATGTGGTGTAAGAAATAGAGCCTGAGATGGAATGTGGTGGGAAAAGAGGAGCCTAGGACGGAATGTGGTGTAAGAAATCGAGCCTGAGATGGAATGTGGTGGAAGAAATCGAGCCTGAGATGGAATGTGGTGGGAAAAAAGGAGCCTAGGACGGAATGTGGTGTAAGAAATCGAGCCTGAGATGGAATGTGGTGTGAGAAATAGAGCCTGAGATGGAATGTGGTGGGAAAAAAGGAGCCTGGGACAGAATCTGCTAGTTCTACCAATGAACACTTACTTGGTGGGCCCATACTCCTATTTTGGGAGATTCCCAACGAGATAATTGATATGAGAGCATGCACAATCTTAGCATGTCCTATTAGATACGTCGCCTTATTAGGAAACCTTGCTTTATGGTTTTTATTACCCCCAATGTTTGGTACGGGGCACTGTGTGGTTCGTATGGCTGATCAGTAGGTAGGTAAGTATGTGTTCATAGGTCAAAAGGCATCAGGATTGGTACCCAGGTTGTTTAATCCAGGCCTTTTCAGGCTTTTTGTGCAAAGTACCGAATAATAAAGTTATTCTTCATAGAGGTATGGTATAAGAACTTTGGTACCGAGGCTAGCGGAGGTTAATAGTGTCATCGTCTATAAAGTGTAACCTATGATACAGAACTGGCTGAAGCCTTTAGCTCTGCTATCGTTGCTATATCCACCCTCGGGGATTCTTCACGCCTCTACGAGCCATGCTCACTTCTACAGTCTGGCGTAGGATCACTCTGAGGCAATATGATCGGCGTCTTCTAGTCAGATTTAAACCAATGTATCGTTACTTTAGGTACCTAGGTAGGTAGCTGAAAACTCGTAAGATATCAATAAAATACAACCTGTTCCCACTTCCGCGTATATGCCACCCACCCCCTCCAATGAAACCATGCCGGATCATTTCCCGCTATCTATGCTAGGCCTGGACGCATATGCATCGGGTCTGTCTCAAGAATGGCTAGGTGATGCACTCATCTTGCCACATACCCGGTAGATTAACATTTTTGGGGCCCTCTTGTTGGATACTGGGCTATTACGGTAGATAACGGATCAGGAAAGCGAATATGGCCGCTTATAGATTTATAATTATTTGATGGTTGATATTTGAGGTGGGCTAAACTAGAATCTAAGCCCGAATATGGGGCGTTGCTGTGCGAGCCAGAACAACGCGATGGGTTTTGCTCGGTATTGTCACGAGACCAACCATAAGGGGGGGTAAGAACATTGTTGTTGTGCGAGGAGATCGCAAGTAACTGCTACAGGAGTCTGCGTATACATACACGAATAGCCTCTTTGTCCTAATGGCTCCTTTGTCCTCATGTGCCAAGCCCAGTATCCCTCCTGGTACTTCCCATGATGTATCGGTTCCTGGAGCCAGACTATTGACATATCCTCTTCTCCCAGCTGCCAATGCATCTATTCTGCTTTTTTCCACGGAACACGCAATTCCCTCACTATGATGGCTCATACACTAGATTCATGCCTGTAATCCTGTGCTTACCTCACTTATGGTATACCTTCGTTAATTTAGTCTTCTTTACATCATCCAACTCGCTCTCGAGGCAGTTCTGAGACAGGGAACTCGTAGCATCGTATATGTCCCCTGAATATTCGACATTCAGCAACGCTATTTCCTGTCTCTTAGAAGGAGGAGAATGTAGCGGGGCACTACGCTTTCTTGACACTCCTTCGGTAGATTTACTACTTTGAGGGGAGCACTTTTCCGACTCAGATTCCATCAGGAGAGAAGCAATATCCATAATAAATCACGTTTTTTAATATGAATTAAGTCTCCATGAGCGTCATGGGCTCGAGTAGCTTGAGAAGGAGTGGAAATTTGAGGCCTTTTTATATATCTGATCCCCTAAACCCGCTGCAAGGGAAACCACAGATATAAGAATACATCTCGCAATAAACCCCCATGAATACAGCAATGCATACCTAGGTAAATACCGTATCATTCGTTTCATTTTGCCTTACTAGGAAGACAGTCCGGCCTGTTGGAATATCTAGTGGCTGAATATTAGGTGGCTGGTAAATTCGCCCCATATCTGTGGCATATATGTAATTTCTACACGCTTGATCATTTCCTAGATAACTTAACCTTCTAATATAACAGAGAACAAACAAACGTTAGAAAATGTTTAAGGCTTGACAGTAGAGACCCACCTCTAAGGCGAGCATAGTAACACCTTTTACACTCGTTCTATGAACGGAATATTTACTGGAAACCATGCGTATCGAAAAATAGTCGACACTTTAGGTAAATCTACATATGCATTAGGTAGGCCGGGTAGGTGGGTGTGTAGAACTCAGCCCGAGAGGTTACTAAAAGGCACATGAGCACTCTGCTAATAATGGACTGTGACGAACCTATGCCTCGGGGAGGTATAGTCATTGCTGGATTGGCTAATCCGGGGTGTCTTGATTTGAAGGTAACAATATCAGTAGTAGGTCAAATGCTTAAGTAAGTTCTGTTCGTCAGAGAGGCTTGGAGTCCTCTCACCATTGTAAGAGAATAGTCTTAGATTGATAACTAAAGAAATAAGAAAAGGAATAACTAGATACATAGGGGACTTCCTTCTTCTTATACATTCTTCGTACTTGGCCATTTCTATATTTCTTGGAGATTTATGTGATTCCTTCTCTGTTGTGATGTTCGCAGAGATAGACAGAGACCTGCTCAGGCTGTACCTTCTGCAGCCTTGTCTCTCATGTCTCCACAGAGACACTCCTCTTCTCTTTATTCTGATTGGCTAGTGTTAGCCCCACCTGGCCTTCCTTCTTCGGCCATTCTTGCTAGATTGTAGCACTTGGTTAGAAGTATTATATATTTTCATCATACAGCTCATTAAGCTAAGCAGATATCAGTTATTATAATATGTGTTATGTTATAAGACTATATG